TTTTTATTTTGTTCTTATTTATATCGTGAGAACATTCATATCATAGTTTGATACCGCTCGAAAAGACTGTCATTTTTAACTGACGTCAAAAAAGGAGGAGGTTATTGAATCGATTACATTTACTTTTATTTGTTACCTTATAACGTCGTCATTTATAAATCCATTTGGAAAATTCTTTTTTTTTTATATGAAAAGATACACTTTCAAATTGGTCCCATAGAAAATTTATTTTTTGAATTTATAATTTGGTTTTGCAAACAGAATAACCGACTTAGCCACGATTGAAGTTGGTGATAATTTTTTATTTGTGCAAACAAAATCTTTAATTATTTTAAAACAACGTTGTAAGCATGTTTCATTCTGCAAGTTCAAGGCAAAACTATATTCAGCAAGTTACTTATAACTGTGATAGACGAGTGACAACCACGGTTCCGTATGCGGAAGGCCGTTTATATTTTAGCATGTAAATTAGTTTGGCGAACCAATCCCCTATATTTTGTTTAAACATAATTGACTATAATTATAGGTCATAATTTGATATTTAATTATATATAATAGTCATTTGCCATGTGGTCCCGGCATAGAATGGACCACCCTTTTCTTTCCCGTGGATCTCGTATGAAACTACTAGGGGAATGATGAAATATGATCGAATGATGGGCGGTAGCATCCTTCTTAAAACATTATCAAACGCCTAACTACGGTTGCCACCCGCCTATAACTAAGATTAAACATCCCTTATGGGGGAGGCCTATGTTCAGCAGTGGACAGTTAACGACTGACATGATGATGATGATGAAGTCATTTTATGTTAATTCAGTTTTAACTGGTGTTCACTAGTACCTACAATTATTCAGTTATTTAATTTATTTATTTAATTATTTATACCATTATAACAATATATATATATATATATAATAAAGTGATTATTTCTTGTAATTGTTTATATTTATAATAAGTTTGCTATTGTAATCTTTTGGAGGAAACAATAAAGAGTATCTATCTATCTATCTATTTATAATTAAAAAAAAATAACAACAATTTTTACTGCATAAAATTTTTTAAATTTCTTTTTTTACCCTTGTCATTCACTACTATTTTTTTTTTATTTGAACTATTACTTCCGTTCCTATGTTTTAATGCGACAGCCATCATATCTTTGTTATAGTAACTATCTTATACATTTATTTATTCTTTATTGCACAATAAAACTTTGTACAAGTGGCGAGCTTAATGCCATATGGCATTCTCTACCAGCTAACGATTAGGTGAAAACAGAAAGCGTATGAAGGGCAGATGTGGTGAAAAATACGTGACATAATTAAAGTAACATATTGAAATAAATATACATAATAATACATAAGAAATACACATATAATACATAAACTTTAGTCTTATTATATATATGGATATACTAAGATATCTGATACATATATATTAAAACAACGATACACATTATGAGATATAGTAACTATTGAGTAACCTGTAACTAGAGCTGGTTTTGTTAACTCAACAAATAATTAAAAAGTCTTCTTTTAAAAGTATGCTTACTGGATGCTCTGCGAAGATCTACAGGGATTCATATGATGGGAAAGTCCTTGTCACCCCATTGTCAAACTTGCAATACCATCGATGATGTGCATCATATTCTATTAGAGTGTCGTATTAACACGAAGGAAAGAGAAGATTTCATGCGCCAATTTAACTTAAATAAATTGAATGTTGGTCTTATTCAATCTATGTTAGCTGAACTTAAACCAGAAATTTTTGAACATCTCTGTAAATTATAGATGCCCATTAATTCTTCTCTTTCCGCGTCTACGGAAAGTAGATAAAGTTTTGTTTGAGAAATCAGTTCAGGGTACAATAAGACTGATATACCTGAAGAAGGTAAAAGGCCTTAAAATAATATTAAAAAAAAAAACTGTGTGTGTTTTTTTTTTATTTTTTCATTTACTATTATTAATTAGCTTTACTTATGTTTGAAGTACTTCCATCGTCTGTCCTTACATGTTAATGACATACAAGTTATTATTTTTTTTTCCACTAATGTTTTAGATACTTTATTTTATTATTCAAGACCTCATTATCACGTTGGCTTTAAGCTAATGTTATGGATTGTGTACAGTACGCCCATATTTGTCCAAATATGTGTATCCAAATATGTGGCAAACGAATCTATCGATAGATACTTAATCGCTACCGCATGTTTAAGATAGAACAGGACAACAATATCTAGACTTTTTTCATCCTCATGTGCAAGAGTTAAACCGTCTAACTACTTGGGTATCTCTGACCTATCTGTATTTTTATCGCAAAGCAATTTGTTTTTTGTTTGGGGGGGGGGGGAGGAAATTTTTAGTAGTAGTATGGCATCCTGTAAGGTTGACCTTGTAACAATTGTGATTCCTGGTCAATTCGTCACGATAGGTCAACTTACCTGAATTCATCCTCATCTATCATCCTTCACTGGTACCTCTCAAGAGTATACCAGTAACATAAATTAGGTTACCATTCCATATTCAAATTATTATAAAAGTTTGCATGCCTGCATTTCTTTTTTATTCTTTCCAACTTCATCACAGACCCATTTTAAATATTAGTCTGGAATTATAATTAATCTGTGAAACATTGTTTAAAAAAATTCCCGTGTCAAGTATTAATAAATATGGCTACTAAGTTAAAATTCAGCACTGGTAGAAACATTTTAATTTTATACCAGGGAAAAAAATTTTCCGCTTCATACGAAATGACGCGGTATTACAATATAACCTAGAAATAAAGTTTTCTATTAGAATTCTTGCGCCAGGTACGCGCCACACTGCTGTGCTATGTTTTTACTTAGCTATATTTTTAATCCCCATAGCAAAAAGAGTGATGTCATTTTAAAGTCTCTTCTGTGTATCATCTGTATCATCGAAGCTCCATATAATATAATTACGTCCAGTACCAATATCTGAGGTTATTTATTATTATTGAAAAAGGGGTTTTTTGTAAGGCAGAAAAGCCTGTGACACTACGACCTTTCCATGATCTTTTGTGCTCGCCCTTTTTTTAAATTTTGCTGCTAAAACCTAGCAGTGACAGGAATTTTAAGATGTTTTTGTAGTAATGTTTTTTATCTCCTCAGGATATAAAATGTACATTCCAAAGGAGATATATGATATGAATGGCCTATAGCCACAACTTAAGTGCTGTGGGGTTTCTTTCTCATTGTAAGAAAATCTGCAAACACTTTTTGGGCATAAGCCTGATTGGGCCATTTGCTTGTTTAGTTTGTAGTGTTGTTCATGCCTATAGGCTACGGTTACCACTTCCCATCAGGCTAGCCCTTAGCTTGTTTGACATTCCAAGATGTATATTAAAAAAATAATGACTAAAAAGTTAGCTTTCAGTTTGCAACCGCCCTGAGCCAGGGGCTCGAGAAATGCGCCGTTCCTTATGTTTTTAGGTTATTTTATATTGTAATTACCAATGGCGTGGTTGTAATCAGGTTGTTAGGCATACACGAGGCAAGGGCCTTGTATAGCAATGTTAATGAGCACTATTTGGACTGTTCATCATTGTGAACCAATCACAAAAAGAAGATATTATTTTATCATATTTTATAAACTTTTATGTGAAACGAACTAACAGATTCCAGGCAATCAATTGATATACAATTATAAAAGTCGTCTGCTTGGGTACCTCTGTCCCATTCGTGTTTCTGCCACGAAGTTGTGTTTGCATGGCCGTGTTTCGATTTGAGGTATGGGTAAGGGTGAGATATGGCAGTGAATTTACAGGGTACAGAGACATAACACTCTAGTCCTCAGCAATGGCAACACATTGGTTGTATCATGGGCGAAACAATATACTCTATTATGTCTATGGTACTGCTCGTCATTAGGTGACAGTTAACACTTTCCATCAGGTGGGTCGCTAGCTATTAGGTCAACATCTGCGCGATTCCCTCTGGAAACCATCTTGGTTAATTATTGTGGAATTCGTCACGATGGGCTAACTAGCCTGCTTTCATCCTCACCTATCATCTCTCCCTTGTGCCCTACGTATACCGATAGTGCAGGCGGGGTTACCATTCCACTATCATCTGTAAAAAAAAACAAAATTGACTCATCCATGACTCGACCCTGAAACCTAATTTATAGACATCAACAGCGCCACTAAGCCATCAAATATAAACAGTATGTTTACGTTTGTCGATGATTTAAAAATCGAAATTAATATATTCATCGCCTTTCTGATTACATTTACGTATTTAATACAAATAAACATGGCTTAAGACGCGTTTTATTTATAAAATGCTATTATCGGTATAGTAATTATAGTTTGTGTAATAAATCTAATGCAACATTTTCCAACTTCGATATGTTTTCGCAAGATACCTTCGACAATTACTGAACTGTTTTTTCAAAAATTTCAAAGTTCCTTTTATAAGTAACTGTATTTTTTTGTATGTAACGTATTGAGATGCGACTAGGATGTATCGTTTGACCAGAATGAGACATGATTTACGTATTTTCTCATCCCAAATAAGTGTATACCAAATTCATAATTTATTATTACAAATTATCGACTGTGTAGGTCCCAGCATAGAATAGGCCACCCCATCCTTTCTCGTGGGTGTCGTAAGAGGCGACCTCTGCGAGGGATGACCTCTGCGGTCTATAAGTCATGGTAGAGGTGCCTAATGTCCATGGGGAAAGGGATTGTTAGTAATGGGGCGTAAAAGTTTTATTGCTAGCAATGAATCGCTTCAGGTCGACACGTCCACGCAGTTCCCCATGAAAACTATGGGGATTGATTTTTGTGAAATTCCTCAGGATGAACCAACTGACCAGCTTTCGTCTTCACTTGTCATCTCTCACTGATACTCTATCAGTGTATACCAATAGCGTAGGGTTACCATTCTACTTTCATCCATAATAAAACTACATCTGCCACTAAGCCACGATACATGGAAAACCTAAATTAACGTATTTATTTTTCTATCTTTACAGTTAGAAACTCCAATCGAAAAATGAGAAGATAACACAAAAATGGCCTTGAAGTTGAAATATAAAGATGAGCATGGCATACTACACATCAACATGAGTCCGTCCAACACACCACAAGTCGAGTCCAACGCCCAACCCTCGGAAGACCAGCGCAACGATATAACCGATCCAAAATTCGATACAATCAACAATCGGTTCGCGCAATACGATTTATTCGGGGGCAAATACGATACAGATGGTGGGGAAACACCGCGATCGCTCTTCCGAAGCCGCTACAATAGCATAGAAGAGGAACTTGCCAATACGCCGTACGCATTTGCAACGGAACGCTCGTTGCGTTTAAACAACTTGTTGGATATAACTATACAATCGCGTCTCGACGAGCCGTCCCCGTCCAAAGACATAGAGGACGACCGGTACTTCAATCGGAGCGAGTTATTCGGACCCCAAATCGATTTTAAAAGCTCGATCAAAACATCGGACGAGGACGAAACTCCTGCGTTTACTGTGACGCAATTAATTCACGCGCAGGACAGATATTTCGATTTGTCCTCGCGCCAATCGAGTAGTGTTGTAGAGAGTCCAAAGGATAAAGTGAGTTTTGAAGTGAAAAGTGTTGGTTCCGGGAAGGAGAGGACTGTCAGGGTTGTTGGTAAAGGTGGAGAAAGTGAGAAAGATGAGGCGTTCAGGGTGCTATCCGGGGGCGCTGTGAGGACGGTGCCCGCGAAACCGGCGTCGGCGACGCAACCGTGAGTTTTTTTTTGTTAACTTTAACCTTTAGAAAGAGTACTGTCGAATTTCTTTGGAACTTCCCTGTGAAACATGATCCATGGATGTTTCTAATATCAACATTGCAAATAATGGTAGTCTTGGAAATTAACTAATAAAAATGTTTTTTTAATAAAATTCTTTTTCAATACAAATAATCTATTTTTGGTGAAAAAAAATCTTTTAAAAGTTAAAAAAAAAGCATATAATCTGTAGTTAGTTTTGATTTTTCAATTAGAAAACTATAAAAAAAAATATTTATTTATTTATTTAACTCTTTAATTGTAAATTTACCAGAATTGTTGTAGGATTTTTAACATGTATGGAAACATTTTGATATTTAAATAAAATATAATCGAACTGAGAACTAAATTATCAAACCAAACAATGTACGATACGAAACAAAAGTCAACGAAATTAAATTAGTTGCATATATTTACATAAATATGTAGTACACGTTACTTTCAAAATTACTAATTCAGGAAATGAAAAAATAATACGCATTATATAAATATTCTTAAAATAGATTCTCTTAAATTTATATACAATTAACTGAAGCCCGCGGCTTTGCATGCATGTTTCCCTTTTGTATTGAAATTGTCAAAAATCCTTTCTCATCGAATTTACTTTATAAAATAAATCTACATTTCGACTTTAAGCTTTCTAAACTTAGCAATTTTGGTTGTCCATTGTTAGTCAGTCAGCATAAACGATTATGAAAATTAATTAAAAATTTTATTCTTAATATAATTAAGTACTAAATGGCTATCCAAGTGAATACGCAAAGGTAGTAAGTTTGAATTCTCGAAAAAATATTTTTAGACGTGAAAAAATGACACCTTATAAAGTTTAATAACAGCAACTAACGACTTTATCCGCATATAATGTTGTCGTCATCCCTACCCTTATCCCAATCATTTGTGGTCGGCGTAATATGATTTTATCCATATTACAAAAAGATTTGGATTTTAGTTTTACGACCGGCCACCTGCCTGACGTCAACACTCTTTGGGAATATGCTCATTATCAAATAAAATATATATAACAGCAGTACCAGATCCGACACATGAACACGTGAACATTTGCTGAAATGCCAAAAATTACCAAGGAAACTCGTAAATTTTATTTATTACGAATTAAAAGTTAACGAAACGTCACTCCGGAGATGTAAGTAATGCGTTTTTTTTTTATGGATGAAAATGGTATGGTAACCCCGCCTGCGCTAACGGGATACGCTGGCGGAGCACCAGTGAGGGGTGATAGATGAGAATGAAAACAGGCCAGTTAGCCCATCATGATGAATTCATCTGGAATTAACCATGATAGTTTCCAGGGAGATCTGCGAGGAGGTCGACTTGGTTGGGTATATTGCTAGCAATGGGATTCTCAGTCTCCATTACTAGCAATCCCTTTCCCCCCTAAGTAATGAGTTTACTTACCCACTGCTCTTCGATATCCCGAATGACTGTAATAATAACAGTGAAACCATACGATATGGTACTGTATTATGGTTATTTACCATATCTAGCGATGGTGCTTAACACCCTATTTCACCATGCAAATATTCGTCGAAATTCTCATCAATAATTTCAAAAATATCAATTTTAAGAGAAAATGTTGTATCACACTTTTTATGTTATTATCAACAGAATAATACTGTATTCGGCTCAATTCACTTGTTATTTATTAGTCAATATTTTATCAAAATAAATAGAAAGCTATATGTTTCATAATTTTTTTTTAATATCACATAGGTAGCAAACAAGCATACAGCCCGTCTGATGGTAAACGGTCACTATAACCTATGGACGCTTGCAATACCATGCCGACCCTGAACAAACCTTAATATACCCTTTTTGAAGAACCCCATACCGTAGTCTTTAGGGAAAACCTCGGCACGGAGCTCATACCACAGCCTTAGCGTTCGCGGGAGAAAATTTCTCTGAAACCGCACTGTACGTGATCATTTAACAATTTGTAACATTTTTATAACATTTTCATATCATGTTGCCAAGAAGTAAAAGTTTTCATTCTATTATTATTAGTTGTGTCAAATTAGATGTTTTTTATACAACTTAGAACAGCAAACAAGCTGACGGCCCACCTGATGGAAAGTGGTAACCGTCGCCTATAGACATGAGCAGTACCATGGACATAACAGAGTATACTGTTTCGCCCATGATACCCCCCATGCGTTGCCATTCCTGAGGACTCAGATGTTATTCCTCTGTACCCTGTTGTAATTTCACGCCATATCCCACCCTTCAAACCGAAACACAGCCATGCAAACGCAACTGCTTCACGGTAGAAACATGAATGGGACAGAGGTGCCCAAGCAATCGACTTTTGTACAAAGTCTCCCTGTGGTAAAGTATTTCAAAAAACTTCAAAAATGGAGCAGATTCTCAACTCGATCGTATTTTTTTTAAGTTTGTTACCACATAACTCCGTCATTTATAAACCGATTTGGAAAATTCTTTTTTTTTTTTATCTAAAATATATACTTTTAGATTGGCCTTACAAAAATATATTTAAAATCGGTTTCAACATTTTAGGTTTTTAATCAAGACAACTGATTTTACTACTATTAATTTCTTTTTTTCTGGTAAAAAGTCTTAAATTACCGTCGTTTGCCAAAGTACATAAAAAAATTAATAACCAAGTGGAAAATCGACTCTCACTGCCTACACCCTAACTGACCTAGCATTAAAATAAATATAAATAAAAAACAAATCAATTTGACTGTATTTTGCAGACTGAAACTGGCTTAACTGCAGATTGCCATATTTTGAGAAATTTATTACTTTCCAACGTCACCGCACCAAATAGAGACATGTCATTGACTTCAACTCTGCCCACAGTTTTACACCACATTTTAATATATAATAGTTTTTATATGAGATGAGCAACAGTTATTGTAAATATTGATAATAACAACGATAAATGCCACATAATCGCTAGAGGGAGACTTTGTACAAAAGTCGATTGCTTGGGTACCTCTGTCCCATTCGTGTTTCAACCACGCAGTTGTGTTTGCATGGCTGTGTTTCGGTTTGAAGGGTGTGAGTTTACTGGGTACAGAGAAATAACACCGGAGTCCTCAGGAATGGCAACGCATGGGGGGTATCATGGGCGAAACAATATACTCTGTTATGTCCATGGTACTGCTCATGTCTATAGGCGACGGTTACCACTTTCCATCAGGTGGGCCGACAGCTTGTTTGCCATTCTAAGTTGTATAAAAAAAAATTACTTTTATGCTTCATAGCTCTATATGTGTGTGTGTATGTGTGTGTGTCTGTAGCGATGCGATGTTGTGTGTTTTGTGAGTTTAATGTAATTATAATATTATAATAAATCTAATATATAAAATTCTCGTGTCGCGATGTTTGTTACCAAACTCCTCCGAAACGGCTTTACCGATTTTTATGAAATTTTGTGTGCATATCGGGTAGGCCTGAGAATCGGCCAACATCTATTTTTCATACCCGTCAATGATAAGGGTGACCCACTCCAAAATATTTTTTTTTATTTTTTTGACATTTTTTTTTTAATTTATTATAATTTAGCATTGAAAAATACATACAACTTTAAATTTTCATCGTTTTACGATCAACCCCTGTATTTTAATCGTGATTTTTACATTCCGCAATAAGTGGTAAAACAACGTTTACGGGGTCAGCTAGTATCATTATAAATGTAAGCGGTATTGTAAGTGATGATTAAGTAATCATTTTCCGTTTACGATAGTGTAAAAAAAAGTCATAATATTATATCTGTAACAGTAGCTTGTCAATACTCTAATTTATATTCAAAATTGTTGCAAAAAAAGTCCAACCTTGTTTTCTATGTTATTATAGTTGTAAATAAATGTAGGTACATAACAAAAAACAACTACAAATAAGATTGTTTTGTATATTATTATTGTTTACATCAAATGAACCATCGACTCATGACCTTTAACACTTCCGATGTATTTTTTTTTTTTTATTAAAAAATCTATTCTCCATTATTCAATAGGGACATTTGATAATTGTATTCATTATGACCTTGCCCTTATCTGTTTTATTTAGTTCACAATAATAAGGGTCTAATAACAGTTTTTTTTTTTTTACTAAAGTAAGCAATTGAGAATTATTATTAACAGAATGTTATTGTGAATAAAATAAAAAAGAAAACGTAATAAATAAAAGTGTGTGTGAGAGAGAAAGAGCACAAAAAACACTAACTTCAATTATGGCAAAATCTGTTATTTTCATTTAAAAATTAAAACTACCAAACCAAGAATAAATTTCTGTGCTATCAATCTTAACTAAATCAGGTACAGGGTGGGAGAGATTGTTAGTAATGGAGACTAAGAACTCTATTGCTAGCAATATACCCAACCAGGTCGACCTCCCCATGGTTCCCCCTGGAAACCGTCGTGCTAAATTCCAAACTTATTATCATTCCTCATTGGTACCTCGCCAGCGTATACCGTCAGCGCAAGCCGGGTAACCATTCCATTATCATCCATTAAAAAAAATCTATAAGTACATGCTTTGAGATAAAAACATTTTTTTTCAAATCGGCTAACAACTGAGGGAGTTATAAAAATATATATACATAAAAAAGTACAACCGAATTGGCAACCTTCTTCTTTTTGAAGTCGGTTAAAAGTGCTTGATAATGTTATTTGAAAATGCATGATAATGGAATGGTAACCGCGCTTGAGCTATCAGTTTTTACTGGCGCAGCACTATTGACAGGTGACACTCGTAAGTGAGATTGGATCATCGTGACGAATTCATCAAGAATTAAACACGATAGTTTCCGCGAGGGAACCACATGGTGGTCGACCTGATAAGATACTCGTATATTACGGGCAATACGCCGTTAATCCCTGTTACTACTAGTGTCTTCCTCTCCGCAAATTTTTTTTTTATACCTCTGAAGTAGCAAACGAGCATACGACCCATCATTCAGTAAGCAGTTACCGTAG